CAGGGTCTTGGAATCTCCACCAAAGCCCACCGCCCCCTCAAACATGCACCCGAGATTAGTTTACTTGCTATACGTATGTATGCAGGGATCACTTTGGGACAAATTTGATGGTATCCTCACTCCCCTTCCTACCAGATTCCGGTCCCAGAGGTCTCTCATTTACACACCTCAGAGCCACTACTATTTCCCCAAGGTCCCTAAAATAGGAAAAGACCATGGCTTGACTTCATGGTCATCCCCATAGGCATTGCCATTCCTGCAGCAAAGGATACCCAAGTTAACACTGTCACAGTCTAGTATAGACCCCAAACCAAAGAGTTTCAACAAAAAATAAAAACTATGTCTCAAACCAGGTATAGCACACACTGGTAGTCTCAGCTACTGGGGAGGCTGAGGCAGAGTGATCACTTCAGCCCAGAAATCTGAGATCAGCCTGAGCAATACAGCAAGACCTTAGAAAAAAAAAAGAACTCCCTTTTAAAAACCAATAAAAATCCTGTATCACAAACCTTTTATCTACTGAGCCCATAACTTATGATGTGCTGTGTTATATGTACTACAGCTGTATCATAAAAGGCTAGGACATACTTAGATTTACTGCAACATTAAGGTTAAAGGAGTGGCAAATAATTTTGTCACTTAGCTACAAATATCTCAACCACATACCAATGCAATTATTTAAATACAGAATCACCAAAATGGCATTTTTGTTAACTTTTGTAAATTATATAACAGGAAATATAAAAGCAACAATTTTATCAAATTTATTCAATACAAGAATTAACTGGGTACAGCAACACCTGCCCAAGTGAAGCTCGGGATAGTCAGTACTATGTAAACAAACACACTACCCAAGTAATGCTCAGGGTAAACTCTTAAGTAGTTAATATGCCTCAATTGGCAACTTCTCTAATTAAGTAGGAATACCCAATCTGAGTTTGAACAGACTTAAGATTTTTGGAAAGTATATTTTCAAAATTACTTTTTGGAAAGTATTTTCGAGAAACTTTCAAAAAGATCTAATCCCTTTCAAAAAAAATCTCAGGATTGGGAGTACAGCCAAGTGGTAGGAAGCAAGCTTAGCATGAGCAAGGCTCTGCCAAAAGACTTTTAAAATGCAGTTTGCTAGTTAGGTGTGATGGTGCACCCTGTAATCCCAGCACTTGGGAGGCTGAGGCAGGTGGACTGCCAAGAGTTTAAGGCCAACCTGGGCTACACAGTGAGTTCAAAGCTAGCCTGAGCTATATAGTGATACGTTGTCACAAGAAAAAAAAATTCAGTCTGCCATTCAGCAATTTTAAATGGCATGCTGGAAAAATCAAGAAATGGATAGGTGTTCCACTTGAAAAGACAGAATGTTATAAGAGACTGCCTAACCCAACAGTTCTAAAAGTGTGGCTCTCTTGAGCAGAAAGGATGGCATTACTTAGAAAGCTGTACAAAATGTACATTACGGGGTCCGCCACAGACCTACTAAAACTCTGGGTGAGGCTCACCAATACAGTTCTAACGAGCCCTCAGGGATTCTGATACACAGAGTCTGAGAACCACTGGCTCAACCCAGTCACTCCACTGATGAGGAAATGAAGCCAGAGACCTCTTTAAATTAAGTTTGTGACTATGGTCATTGCAAACAGTTCTCTGTGACTTTCGTAGCAATCTTTTTTTTTTTTTTGGTACCAGGAATCGGAACTCAGGACCTTGCACTTGTCATGCAGGTGCTTGTGCTGCTGAGCTATATCCTCAGCCCCTCAGCAACTTTCGAAGTGATTCTTAAATTGTATTCTTTAATCCAAGCAAACTATAGGATTTTCTAGACAAAATATATTTCGATTTTCTACATTATTATTTCTAATAATATTACAACTTTCATCTAGGCAGATCTAAGTATCAGAAATATTTTTGTATTAAGTAATTTACAGAATACCTAAAAAAAGCCTTCACATGACTGACCTCTCCACAAAAGTAAGGACTCAAGTCCCATGAGCTTTTTTCTAAAAAATAATTATTTGTTTGGTTAGGTTAACATTTGTTGCTATTAGCAGTACTGTGTTCTGCTTTGTTATGGCTGTGTTTTGGTTTTGTTTCAAAGGCAACAGTAGGAATTAATGGGACACACCACTGACAGTTTGTTTTGAGGGGGAGGCTTTTATTGACTGCTATTTCTTGCCCCACCAGAAAGGTTCACACCAGAAATATTTGAAAAGTATTCACAAAGCACAAATAGACTAGAAATTGCTTTAAAAAGAAGGTCCCCCCAACAATTATCTTGGAACGTATTCTAAAAAAATTTTTGACAACAAATCTGTACTTCCATTTGTGTTTTACCTTTTCATAAAGTTAGTTTTCACTTGTGGAACATGTAGTGGTAGAATGACAGGAAGATGGCGTGTATCCCAGGAACAAGTTGCTGTAGATAAGGCAGGCTTAAAATCTGGCCCATAGAGCAGCACAAGGTAGGTTAAGAGCAGCACAAGGTGGATGGGTGACTATGTATCATCTTCTAAAGTACTAAGCCACCTATCTGCCTGCATCATCAACCACTAAATACAAATTTACCACATGTAATAAAATCTACAATTTTCGGCCTTTGGGCTTTTGTTCTAAATAGATGTTTGATGTGTCACCCACATACCTTTTTATATAAATATTTCGAAGTCTAGTAGTACTTATCTACACAATTAAACAGCTGCTTCTATTTACATCTTAAATATCCTCTTGGACAAGTTTATAGCCTTGGTGTTAGAACTACCAGACACAGATTTAGAGGTTTAGGAAATAAATGTTTCCATTTATGTTTTCATACTGAACTTGTTCTCTTAGCGTCACACCAAAATAGACTTAATATTTTCAGTCCTCTTTTTCAGACACCGTTAACATATACAATTACCTTTTCATTTACAAACCAACTTTTCTAACCGAAGTTGAGGGCATACTATTTCCTCTGAAAAGTACATGGACAAGTGCACCAGAAACGACTACTTCAATTTGATTTATACTTCCTAACTTTCTGTATGACCTGAGCACCAAATCTTCTTGTGATTTTATTTTTTAATCTGTCATCAAATAAGGGTAAAAATTTCTGCTACATATCTTTCATGAAACAAACCAAAGTCACAGAGTTAAAAATGATGCTCCTGGAAAGACTGCATGCTGGGGACAAATGTGGTCAGTGTAGTTACTGTCGTCAGCCTTCTCTCCAACCCCACAGTGTATCCGGAGGGCTTACATTACTTGGACATTAATTTGCTTGAAAAATATTTATGAGATCCGTATGTGTCAAGCACCACAAAGCACTGGAAATACAATGGCCAGCAAGATGAATACTGTTCCTGCTCACATCTTAGAAAAATACTGATTCAACTTAGGGAACTTTCATTTAGTTTATATATGAAGTCCTCACATCCACTTGTAAATAATTACTCTTAGTTATAATTACTCTCAACCACTCCACTCTACTGAAAAAGGGAGCCATATAAACTACCTACTGTATGTAAATTCACAGAAAACACACATAGGACTCTATAAAAATGAATGCCTCATGTAGGTAAAATATATAGAGAGGTATCATACATATATCTACACACACATGTATTTATACATATATGTATCACCCAGCTGGGCATGGAGACAAGGGCATGTAACCCCCGAACTTCAGGAAGGTGAGGTAAGATGATTCTAAGTGTGAGCCCAGCTGGAAAACTCAGTGAGACTTTATTTCAAGACAAAAAATAAGAAAGGACTGAGATGTAACTCAGTGTGAAGGCTCTAGGTTCAAACCCCAGGACCACAAAAATCACCCAGCAAACACCTTATAATCTACAAATGGGAAGCACTGGCTTTGGCCTTAGAAGATGAACCAAGATTTTTCTTTCAAAGGCAATATACCTTAACCTAAACATCCACCTGTTAAACACTAGATCTGAATTTTAACTATGTTGTCCCAATACAGTAGCCACTAGTGACTATCTTCTTTGGGATCAATTAGAAATTAATTTCCTCTACTGCACTAACCACATTTAAGGTACTCAACAGCCTCAAGTAGCTACTCGCTAATGTACAGGATCATGCAGCTCTAAAATCATTTCCTCGCCTCAGAAAGCTCTCCAGGACAGTGCTGCTCTAAAATAACTTTGTATGTAAAATCTGAAAATTATGGTGTAATGAAGTATGAGGAAGCATCCATACTCTGCGATACCACATGAAAGTATGTGCACTGGTAATGTGCCATTTCCTCCTTCCCACATGGGTAGCAATGGTGAGCACCTCTCCAGTGTATGTTAGCAACTAAGAAAATCCCCAATAGGTCAACAGAGTGAAACTGGGAAGGAAGTGATAAGCAGCATATTTTGCCCCTTCTTTCCTATTACTTTTTCAAGTACATGTTAGTGGTACTCTTATTGTGTTTCCTGGGTAAGTAAGTATATGTGCTTTTAGCCTAGCAGCTCACTTCAGAGGAATTGAAGACAACTCGAATGAAGATGGGCGACATGGGCAACACAGATGATACAGCTCCAGGACGAGTGAATTTAACTGGAGCCGGTGTAATGAGTTTAAGTGCTTACAGTGTACCATCCCTACCTTTGAAGAACCCAATGTAGAAGGGGCATTCAACACGCTACAGATACAGTATGACGTCCTGTGATAAATGCAATGAGACAAGTGTGCTAGGAGAGAGAGATGACACAGAGAGGGTACTTTTAAATACCTTTCTGAGAAGAAATCAGGGGAAATTTACTTAAGGAGATACCGAAGATGCAGAAGCGCTAACTAAGCGGAGGTGTGCCATGGTACGGTAAAGCCAGAGTCACTCGTGCTAACTAGATGGGAGTGAAAATGGAGGGAGAGGGGGCCGGCGAGCCATTTCCACGCATGACCACAGCCAACTATGTTTACGTCAGGTTTGCCTGGGTGTATCTGTAAACTTTCCACACTAAAATGGCCAGCAATGTGAACGCCAACCTTTAAAAAACTCCGAACAACATGAGTTTGACAGCAATCACTACTGGGAACACAGATCTTTCTGACACAGAACACAATTTTACTTCACAAATTATTATAATGGGAACCCTTTGTTTTCAAGGAGAAGCTTCACCTTACTGTTTTATTTGGAGTACCTTCAGAAACCCTACCAATGTACATTTTCAAAACAGTAAGATTACCCCCACCATCTCAATGTTCCCACAGACAGAGGAAACACAACAAGGGGTGAAAGGAGAACATAAAAGGGAAATTTATATACTTCAAAATAGAAGAGTTGTTTTTTCCTCCAAAATTTGCTGTAGCCACTGGGACTATACAGTATTCAGCAAACTATACAGAGGCTCCGGACGCGTGCAGAAATGTCTGGAAAACATCTTCTGGACTCTGCCCTTCATCTTATGCGCTACGTTCAACTCCCAAAAGAAAACAAAAACAACAACACGTCCAGGGAACCCATTCTTTTCAAATTACTAAAATCCCTTACCTCTCTCCTCTCCTCACAGTAAACTCGAAAAGGTAGCCTGCAGGCCTTAAAGAATTTATCAAGCAATTCACCACCCTTTCAAATAAATAAAGCATTCTGCACAAAAAAAGAAAATCTTAACAGTAGAAATGTACACACTGGACTTCGCTGACCCGGAAACATACATACAACTATTTCTATTCCCAAACATAGCTCTTAAATTAAAAACTATCCCCTCCCACTCCCCCAGCACAGCAAGTAATAGTTGAAAATACAGTCTGGGATCTGACTCCCGGGTACTAGTTACAGACCAACTCTCACCTAACCTCCTGAACTTCCATTCCTCCAACTGTAAAACGAAGGTAACAGCAGTTCACTCATGTTTGCAAAGCCACAGTGCCTAGCACAGAGACCCCATCAGGTAATAGATCAACGTTAACTACTGTATTTGAGCTATTTTTATAAGTAAGTCCTTAAGTATGGTCAATTTCACAACTCTTCAGTCCACCTAGCTGGTTACCTCTGCACATTTCTAGTCCTCACTACGCAACAGAATTGGCTGTATAATCACACTCAGTCCGGACCCTCTTAGCATTTGGGATCAGTTGGTATAGATCTGTCTGGGTATCGGAGTTCTCTTTAAGACTCTCGGTTGTCCTAATATGCAGCTAGAACTTAGAACTACGTGGAAGTCTCTCCTACACGGTCCGTAATACACACACCTGTGAGGTCCGGTCCATTTCTGAGCAAATCACCCCAGGCCGAGGGCCCCGCCAGCCCGGGGACGAAGCTCGCCCGGACGGATGCTGTGATGACGAACGCAAATTTTGCCCACCAAGGACCAACTACAAACAATTCACAAGCAAGCGCCCCGACACCGGCGGCGGAGTCGGTTGGGGCCCTCGACCCTTCCCCGCGCCCGCACCCACCCCTCCCGCCGCGGGCACGTGACTCGACACGCGCCAGCTGCACGCGGGCTCCATCAAAACAAAAAC